TAAGATAATAAGCCAGGCTCTGCCCTTCCAAATAATGTAGCCAGCTCACGGCCTTCAAACCAGGCATCCTCATTGTCTGAATGACAAATGGGCAGGTGTGTCAGGAACATGGCAAAGAGCTCTAACTCTCTGAGCCCTTTGTTAGCTGGACTAAGTGGAGTTCTCCTGGAAGTTGGGAATTCAGAACACTGGGTGTCACATTCTTAAAAAGATTGCTTCCCTCTATTCCCTACAGTAATAATGGTCATGTTGACACTTCATTACAGTCCAGGAATTTTGAAACTTTGACTTGATTTTTCTGGTAAGGTGAATAAACTGAGCATAGAGATGCTAAATTACTATCTCATGATCATGCAGCAGGCAGTGGGCATGGACCACAAACCTCATTTTTTGATTCGAGATCAGCTGCACAAAAATCTCATAAATTGTATTTCCCTTTTAGTAAAACCACAATCTCCTTCAGCGGTACCTTGTTCTAATGTTTAATTAACCATAAAACAAAAAGACTCTTTTGTCTAACTAATTTCTATCAATGCCACTGAAATGTTTGTTCTCCCTTAAGTTCTTTTCTAAAAAATTATAGTAAAATACACATAACATAAAATTTACCATTTTAACCATCCTTAGGTTCAGTAGTGTTAAGTACATACATGTTGCTATGTGATCAACCTCGAGAACTCTTTTAATCTTATAACACCGAAACTTCATACCTACTGAACAATAACTCTCTGTTCCTCTTCCCTACAGCCTCTGGAAACCACCATTCTACTTGCTGTCTCAATGAATTTGAGTACCCCAGATATATCATATAAGTGAACTCATGCAGCATTTGTTTTTTTGTGACTGGATTATTTCACTTGGCATAATGTCCCCAAGGTTCATCCAGGTTGGAGTGTGTGTCAGAATTTCTGAATAATATTCCATTGTATGCATAAACCACATTTTGTTTATTAACTCATCTGTCAATAGACACTCGGGTTGCTTCCGCCCTTTGGCTATTGTGAATTCTCTTTGAGTTCTATGGGAAGAAGAGCAACTGTGTATAATCTACCTTGCAATAATTCTTAATTTGCTTGTGAAATTTCTGCTTATCTTTGCCTCCCTCAGGACAAAACAAATACACTTCTATATATTTTTTCCTTACAGTGTTGGTCTCAACCCATTTCCTCATCCTTATACCTACTGTTTCCAAATTCTACTCACTATTTAGAGGGGAGGTTGGAATGGTCTACACTACGTAGCTTGGAAAGTAAGTTCTCCTAGGACCTATGCCTCCCATCATCCAGTTGAATTTCTCCCATCCTTCCTCACCTGTTCTGTCTTCAGGCAAACCTCATGTGATTTCTCAGTGCACACACCTTCGTGCTCCCATAGCCTGCCTGGTATTTCTATAGACCTTTTGTAATACTGTAATAGATCTTTCACTACCCATCCCGGGCCCCAGCTTTTACACAAAGCACAGTCATAGTATTAGGTTGGTGCAAAAGTAATTGTAGGTGTTGCCATTAAAAGTATTAGGTTGGTGCAAACGTAATTGTGGTTTTGCCAATAATTGCAAAAGCCACAATTATTTTTGCACCAACCTAATATGTACCTTACTGTGGTAAAGAAGAACAATTTCCAAGTTCTAGACACTTTGAAATGCAGTATTCCAACATACATAAGCCTTTTGTTTTATATGCTAGTATGGTGCTTTGTTGAACATTAAAATGCAGTAAAATTTGCAATAAGAAAATGTATGAAAAAAAGTATCCCCTTCATTGACTTTTTTCAAAAAAAATGTTTATCCCTTTTATTGAATTTTTTGAAAAAAAAGATTTAAAGATTGCAATTTAAAGAATTCTGTTGTGAGTCCTGTCACAAAGCAACCATTTTCTACAATGTAAGCTTGATTAGGATTTATTTAGACTATCGTTTCTTTATTTTTGCAGAAAGAAGCTTGCAGGTAGCTTATAGTTAAGCCCAACTCTCCACACCCACCCCATGCTAAATCAGTCAGTTTTCCTCACCCTGCCAGTGACAGTAATGAATGTGTTTTTCTTTTGCAATCCGATTTTAGCTGTTTCCTCTTCAAACTCCTCGTATGTTGGATAGCTCTTTTCCCTACTCTATTGAGATTAGTTAAACTATGGTTCCTTTTTTTAGTGGTTTTAGCAGTGTTTCCTCTGGCCCAGGGCAATCTATAGCCTCAATCTCTGCAAAGTCTCCTGCAGCTCTTGCCCACCCCAACCACACCCATACACCCAACCCCTTCCCCAGTAGGCCAACCAGGAGCTCCCAAGTGAAGTATTATGCTCTCTCTATTTTACTGGTCAAAATTTGAAATAAAGTAGTTAAACGTCAGAGATATATAGAAAAAAAAAAGAGACAGCAAGGCTGGCTCTTTCAAAAAAAATCTATAAATACTCTTTCTTATCACTTCTATGTAGTTGATGGTTGCTTTTCAAGCCCAAAACTTTTTCACACATTTGATTAAATTTCCCTCACTGAGAAATTCCAACCATCTCTGGATAAATCTCCTGGCTCACCTTAGACAAGAGTAACGTAAGCTTTTATATTAGGTTGGCCTAGCCAACTTTTCAGTTCCATAAAAGGAGTCACAGAGCAATGAGTTATATGCATTCACACCACGGAATCTGCATAGATGGTTATGCCAATGTGTGTCTCCTTTGTGTCAACACCAAACTATCTGGTCTTCGCTTACTCTTACCCAGACCTTAAGGTCTGTCTAGGAGGTGGGTAATGAGGTACCTTAAGAGTTATTTTGAAAAAGGAAGTTCACATTTATTTCAAAAATTAAAAGCTCAGAAACAGAAAGCAAATGCCTATAAAAAGTAAAGCTAACCCGACTGAAATGACAAAAATAACCGCCCCACCCCGCCAAAAAAAATGGGAGGAAACCTGAGTATGGGCTAAGGGAAAACTTCCCCTTCAACTCCTGAAGGTTTGCTGAAAATCACTGATGAGAGACAGATTCATAGGAGAAAAGGCATACACGTTTATTACTGTATATGCAAGAGCCTTCAGAGGGAAGACTTAAAGATACAGAGGAAATTGTCCATTTTTATGCTTGGGCTTAGCTAAATATGAACAGTTGTATAGAAATCTGATTGGACAAAAAGGGTATGATCTAACCCAAATAGACCCAGTGGGGGAAGCCCGCAAGGCCTCTCTGTCTAGATTCTTCTTGGCCTCTCTGAGCACGCCTTCCTTCCTGTTAGGTGTGGGGCAGGACCCTCTCAGGAATGAAGGTCTTATGACCTACAGTCAAACAGGATAGGTCAGATAATTTCTTTATGGCCAATTTTTATACAGAAAAGTGGAAGGAAAGTTAGGGTAATGTTTTTAGGATTATGGCTGGCTTTGGGGAAAAGGAGTTCCGGTTTCTATGACCTGCCTTGGGGGAGAGGGATTTTAGTTTCCATGGTGAGTCTTGGGTAAGAGTAGGACTGAAAGACAGAAGGGCAGGAGAAGTTCAGAGAAAAACTTCTGCTTCTGAGGCTGCTTTTGAGGCCTTCATTTTGGAGTATAGTTTTCTGAGTCCCAGTACCTGCATCATTAAAACTAAGGGAGTATCAGGGCCATCAGATTGCCTGAGAGATTGAGGAATTTGTGCCAGAAATAATGCAGAGGGGAGCAGGAATACTTATTAATCCATTGATAGGATGTTTGTGAATGACTTTAAAATAATCCAGCTGGCCTGTTGGGGAAGCAGAAATGAAGGGATTTAGAAATAAAATTGGCCATCCTGAAGTTCTGAAACTGGATGTGAGGTGTATGAGATTGATTTGACAATTTTCTCTGCTTTTGTGTATGTTTGACGTGTCTCACAAAATGTAGTTAGCCCAGATGGTGTAGCTGGGACAAAAATCACAGGGAATTAATAACTGCAAGCTCCCATGACACAAAGTGTATCCTTTCCCTGCAGATGCAAAATAAAAACGAACCACAAATTCCATGAACAAAAGTAACAAATCTATCATCGGAATTAAAGAGATAATACAAGCCTAGATAATGCCTACATTAAAAGAGAAATCGAAACTACAAAATGAAATAACTAAAGATCTCTGACTATCCATCTGTCTGTATCTATCTCAACAAATAGTGCCTTTAATTGCAGTATACTTAAGTTGGAAGAACCAATAGATGTAATCTCTCCTGTTCATATGTTTTGACTGGCGAGGTCAGTAGAAAGCCTTCTTGAATAGAGAAGCACTATCTGCTTTATCAAGACTCCAACTGGGTTTTTGTTTTTAATGTGACAAGGTGATATCTCATTTGTCAGGAGGAATAAACAGACAAGAATCATCAAGGGCAGGTTGAACAATAGAAAGTCGGAATGTACTCTGGTGTACATGAAAATATACTATCACACGATAATCACTTATAATTGGGCCAATGTAGAAAGGAATCAACATATTTAGAATATGATAATGATGGCATTTCAAATCATTAGGCAAAAGATGGATTCTTTAATGTCTTGTTTGTGGCTGCAAAACTCAGGAATTACAAACATAAGTATTTTGTGTAATATGCTACGTGATGTTGAATATAATTGCTTTGTTTATAAGAAAACTACAGGAAGGACTCAGGATATTTTAATACTATCTCATAACAGTATAATTGTGTTGACGACAATATTCTAATTCACCTGAAGATTTTGACCAAGGTTATTTTCTTACAGCACTGTGGATAAACAATAATAAAACACAGAAACTTAACATGGCATTTATTCGGTGCCAGGCACTTTTCTAAGCTGTTGAGGTATATTAACTCGTTTAATCATCACAAAACTGTACGCGATGGGTAATACTATTATTCCCTGCTCAATACACGAGGAATCTGAGGTGCGGAACTCGTTGTGCCATCATCAGACATCTAGCAAGTGGGCGGGGGATGGGGAGCTGGAATTGCTGCCTGGCTCCAGTGTGTACTTGACCGTCTCTCCTGGGACTGAGCTCTCTATGCACATCTCTGACGTGTCTTTTTGCTTTTCTCAGGGACCTGATGCCCAGAACCCTGGACGGGCAGATCACCATGGAGAAGACGCCCAGTTACTTCGTCACGCGGGAGGCGCCCGCGCGCATCTCGGCCATGTCCAAGGACACCAAGCTCATCGTGGTGGTGCGGGACCCGGTGACCAGGGCCATCTCGGACTACACACAGACGCTGTCCAAGCGGCCCGACATCCCCACCTTCGAGAGCTTGACGTTCAAAAACAGGACGACGGGCCTCATCGACACGTCGTGGAGCGCCATCCAGATCGGCATCTACGCCAAGCACCTGGAGCATTGGCTGCGCCACTTCCCCATCCGCCAGATGCTCTTCGTGAGCGGCGAGCGGCTCATCAGCGACCCGGCCGGCGAGCTGGGCCGCGTACAGGACTTCCTGGGCCTCAAGCGGATCATCACGGACAAGCACTTCTACTTCAACAAGACCAAGGGCTTCCCCTGCCTGAAGAAGGCGGAGGGCAGCAGCCGGCCCCACTGCCTGGGCAAGACCAAGGGCAGGACCCACCCTGAGATCGACCGCGAGGTGGTGCGCAGGCTGCGCGAGTTCTACCGGCCTTTCAACCTCAAGTTCTACCAGATGACCGGGCACGACTTTGGCTGGGATGGATAACCATATAATTTAAAAAGAAAAAAAAAATCAAAATATAATATATTTTTTTACCACTCGGTAGAGAAGAAGCAGTTTAATATTTGTGCTGAAAATATGTTTCAGTATTTTTTTCAATGAATGTTAAGAGATTGTTCTCACTCCAGCCCCATCTTAATGGATAACCAACGCCAAACACGTGGATCAACAGGAAAGGAAAAGTTCACTCATCTAAAGTCTTTCAATGTTCAGTTTTATTTTATGTTCTATGTACCCAGTCATAAAGTATAAGCATCAGTTGTCATTAAAAGTTTTCAGAAAATCTTGAGGATAAACATCTCTCTCTTTTTAATACAAGACCCTGATAAAATTGATATCTATCCTTATATTTTTCTCCCTTTTTCCTGTGCCACTTTTTCTTAAATTATTTCCCAGTTAGTATTATCATGTTTGTACCCCATTTCACAGTTTTCACAGTGCTTTCAAATACACGTTTTTGATCATTAAAATACTTTTAAAAAAATCTTGCTCTGTCGTATAAGAGCACAGGAGGTAACGATTATTATCCCATTTTACAGAAAGGAAAACTGAGTCGCTGGGAGGCGAAATGATGTATCTAAAGGCTAAATGGTGGACCCTGGACAAAATTCCATCTTCCACTTGTTCCGTATTTTATGCCACTTTTTCCAGGGAGAATGGGAAGGAAGACATCTGCACCTTTAGAAATGGTTAGCTAGTTTTCAGATGATCTGAAAAGGGCCAGAAAGGCTGTTTTCTTGTTTTCTTTTTTTTTTTTTTTTTTTTTTTTTTTGAGACGGAGTCTCGCTTTGTCGCCCAGGCTGGAGTGCAGTGGCCGGATCTCAGCTCATTGCAAGCTCCGCCTCCCGGGTTTACGCCATTCTCCTGCCTCAGCCTCCCGAGTAGCTGGGACTACAGGCGCCCACCACCTCGCCCGGCTAGTTTTTTGTATTTTTAGTAGAGACGGGGTTTCACCATATTAGCCAGGATGGTCTCGATCTCCTGACCTCGTGATCCGCCCGTCTCGGCCTCCCAAAGTGCTGGGATTACAGGCTTGAGCCACCGCGCCCGGCCTGTTTTCTTGTTTTCTAAGTTCCATGGCACCCAATCTCATTACATAGTTCTGTTCAAGAAAACTACTCAGACCTGGACACAATCTCTCTTAAGAGCAGTCTTGCCTCTTGGCTACTAAAAATAACCTGAGATACAGAAATCTTGACTGATGGATGCTTGATTGAATTGGAGAGGAATTATTGGATTCTTGCACGGAGGACAAGGTGGCCAGCCATGCTAGGGGTAGCACAAGATGTGTTAGGAACATAACGTACCCATTTGTTGGTTTAATTGACTTTTAAAAAAAAGAAAAACAGATTTCAATTAGCGCTTACAAGTATGAGTCTCGTGTGTGTTTTTGGTTTACCTCTTTTTAAAGAGAAAAAACCTACCTTTCTTTGTAGTATCTCGCTTCTAACTTTGGAGCTAGTACTCTAAAAGAATTAATTAGCAATTCGTTTTCAACGTTTTTATTTTTCATGGATGGAAGATGATCACTTCGTCACTTTATCCCCCCCCCTTCCTATTTATACCATTTATAACCTAATGTTCGGTAATATTTGGAGAAATATTCTAGGAAATTCATTTGTGGGAAAATGGTGGCTCTTCCTCTTCTCTCGTCTGTTTCTGCCCATCCTCCATTTAAATCACTCAAATAAATCAATAGTTTATTAAGAGTATTCCTTTCCTCTCTGAGTGGGTATTAACAAGATTAGCGTTAATGGGAATTAAATTGGTTTAGAGAGGAACACATATGCACGAAATATATAAAACATTTATAATTAGCCTGTCAGCAACATTTTACTAGAGGTTTAAACCCAAGAGGAAAAATGTCTTCTATTTCATGGAAGTTTTCTTTATCTGCCAAAATTTAAAGGACCAGACACTCTGAAATAATATTCTTTTTCTTCTCTAATGTTGTCAATCAAAAGAAACTAAAGTTGTTTTAAAATATGCAATACAATTGTACATTTACCATAGATGCTGCAGCAGGTGTTGTAAATATTTCTTGAGAAGCTTAACATAGGATCAAAATGAAGGAAAAAAATCTTTTAAATGTTTGATATTGTGTCATTGCTCCAAATCTTCGATTTATCTGTTAATATCCCATTTACAGGAGTTAAGTAAACCCCAAATCCAGGTCACCTTTTTTCAGCTGATTTCCTTCATGGCTATGCCCTCAATTTCCCAGTGCCACAGACTGTTTTTATTCTACTTGAATCACTAGCTGCAACAAGATAATTCTTATCATCATTTCTCTTAGCTCATTTTGTTTGTACAACTGATTCTTTTGTAAGTGTTTGCTTGGCGTTATGCAAAAGTAGCTTGCACAAACAAACAATTGCATTCTGCAACCTTCATTTTTTTTAATGTGAAAGAAATAATAAAAGAACAGAATTGAATGCAAAGGATCTCTTTTTGAACGTAGATATTTTTGTTCATATTATTTTCAAAATGAATGACTACAGAAAATGCCAGGAAAATCTTCAAGCTTCTATGAGTTCCTTTGAGTGTTAGAAGTGATAAGTACCAGCAAAATGTATAAAGATTTAGAGTCAGTATTCCCTAACAGGAATATCCATTCATTTCTGCCTCTATACTATACTCATCCCTGCTGTGCATGAACTTGACCTGACATTTATTTTGTCCATTTAGCTACACCAAATCATAGGCTTTGACCTCGATTGGAACACCTTAGCATCCATTCTCTGAGCTGTCTGCTCCAAAGCCATGCCTCGCAATCCCCTTCCCGTTTCTTAGAGGTATAGAGTGTTGTCTTTCAAGAAGAACACCTAGAAAATACAGTTTCGTTTTGAGCAGTTTGCTTCCAAGGTCACATCTACAGTATATCCATTCTCCAGAGAACTTAGCCACTTCTAGGGAAATGAATTTCATTTCAATAAATGGAGATTAATGTGCTTCTAGAGAATGGATATTGATTATTCTAGAAATATTAATCCCACTCTAATTTTCTTATTTTCAAAGGATCTTCAAAGCTGAAACCAACTTCAGTGGTTATTTGGATCAAATTCCTGTTCAGCACCTGAATCCTTTCGTTAACTTGTTATGCAGGGGTTTAAAACATTGACGTGTCTGTAAATTCTTAACTCTTGATATTACAGTTGAAAAGGGGATACATTTCTCCTAAACAGTCTCATCGTATTCTGCCAGCTGAGACCTGCTGAGTCCCCAGCTCCCCATGAAGATATCTTAAATTCAATATGTGAATAAAGAAATGTGTCTATAAAATAATAATGCCTTATATTTATATTGCAGACTAACCTTTCAAATGCATTATTTCTCCGTATACCAATAACAGCAGCTCTCTACTCTCATTAGTTTCACTTTACAGATGTTTCACTAGGTTTCACTAGGGCTTAAGACACGGGTGCTCAACAAAAGGTGAATTTGCATGCCAGGGCAATGTCTGGAGATATTTTTGGTTGTCTCAAGGGTTGAGGAGTGTAGGGTGCTACTAGCATCCTGGGTAGAGGCCAGGGATGCTGCTAAACATTCTGTAACGCGCAGGAGAGTCTCCATCACCAAAAATGATCTCAACCAAAACGTCAGTCATGCTGCAGTTCCTGGGTTAAGATGAGGATCAGTCACAGCTAGTGTGTGCCTCAGGTCTAAAAGCCACATTCTAATTAACGCTGGACTGGTAATTCTTTCAGTCACCATTCTAGATTTTCTCTTGAAAACCTTTCTTTTCTATTGTTTTCTTCCCTCCCTCCCTACCTCCTTCCTTTCTTTCTTTCTTTCTTTCTTTCTTTCTTTCTTTCTTTCTTTCTTTCTTTCTTTCTTTTTTTCCTTCCTTCCTTCTTTCCTTCCTTCTTTCTTTTCCTTTCCTTTCCTTTCTCTCTCTCTCTCTCTCTCTGTCTCTCTTTCTTTCTTCTAATAAGCAGGGCAATGTTTACTGTTGTGCTTTGCTGGGAAAAATGCTAAAGGGAACCAAACTTTGTTTTTATAATGAAGATACAGAAGCAGCTTGCAACAAATGGATAATTGCAATTGTGAGAAATGGAATCAGTCAGCTTCAGGTGGAGAATAACATTCCCATAAAACACTTCTAAAGGCTCTTTCAAGTTCAAGCCTTGCAGTTTCTATTTGCCTCCACAACAGGGCCGTGACTGTATTTCTTGTCACCTGACAAAACCAAAGTGCCTAGAGAGAGAAGTAAATACCTCCATTTCTGTTAAACAGCTAAATTCAGATGGATGTGCTATGGTTACAAATAGCCTCGAGTTGCTGAATAATAGCAAAGGAGAGCAAATTCCTATTGCCTCATATCCTAGAAACCCAAGAACTTTGTGCATAATTTCGATAGAATCAGAGAATAGAAAAATGTATGGTTCTCAAACACAAGAAAAGTGTTGCTGGGATTCATTCCAATATAAGTCTTGGTGCAGAAAAAAAAAGGGTCCCTGTTTATTCTCCTATTGTATCCTATAATCACTGAAAGAGAGTGGAATTTTAAAAACCCAACCCCAAGCCCTGTTGGTGAGGCACTGGTGTTATTGTAGAATCTGTGGTCCTTGAAATATCTTCATCAACATGCAAACAGATTTGCCTTGAGTCTCTAACATACGGAAGAAGAACATGGATAGGAAAATTATAAATCTGTTTGCTACGTATTGGAATACTGAAATGGCAGGCGTTTCTTTAAAAGCTTGAAAAAGGATGAATTTGGGGAAATTATGAGGCAGTGCGACATCACATACGAAGTCATAAAATAACAAATTTTAGTTACGCCAGGAGGAAATAAAACTGAAAATAGAAATTGTTTCTAATATATGGTTCCATTGTGAGATATTAGAAAATGTTAGTATGTTTCAGGCTATAGCCCAATTTTTTTAGTTTAATTTCCAAATGTTGGTTGTATTCTTTTAATAACCATATGCTCAACAACTTCCTGTCCTCTAGTTTTACTGTGAAAATAAAAGGGAACACTGAATGGGTAGCACACATTCTGGTGTGAGTCCTTTTTTCTCTAAAATGTCTGGGTATGATATTTTAGTTACTTTTGAAGGATCAGATAGGATGAGATCTGGTGTCCTTCATTAGCTCTGCCTGGAAGATCCACGACTACGCTAGATTTTGAACTTGGTGCTAACTTTGATTATTCCTAAGAGGGCTTTTGTGTAACTGTCTAGTCTCTACGTTGACCATTAGGTCTCTCCCAAAGTCATTTTATAATAAACCTAGAGTGTTCCCCCACACCCCAAGGGGAGTTTGGTTTCATTGCAAATA